CCATCGAATATAAATTTTCATAAAATCGGACAAAATTTGAACCGATTTTCTTTCGAATCGGATCATAAATGTACACTTCGCATTTCTTTCTTCACAATTTAACATGGGCAGACGGATATGCATAAATTGACTCAGAAAGTAATTTTATGCAAAAAGAACCAAAGACATAATACCTGTATGACATAATACCTATGTTAAATTGTAAACAAAGTACAGGTCGCATTTATGATCCGAATTGGATGAAATTTGGCATAGGTCACTTATTTGGCCCAAGGACAAACCCTTTTGAAATTGAGAAAAATCGGATTTAGATATAGCTCCCTTATATATTTTCGTCCGATTTAATGTAAATTGTGTACCAATGTCTTTATGTATCTTTCGATTTGAACAAAATTTGGCATAGCGTACTGAATTAGGTCTAGAATGATGTGTGTTAAGTTTCGTTCAGATTTGGATATATATATATATATATATACATATTTGCATAATTTTGTCGCATTGTAAGAAGCAACCCTATATCAGACCAAATGAAAAATTTAGTACAGGTTGCAGAATGACATGTTTATTGTTCCATTTTCGTGTTAATGGTCCTTCAACGACTGTTAGGATTCATCTGTTGAATATACCCAAAGTGGTGAAGGGTATCATATAGTCGGCCCCGTCCGACTTTACTTAGTGGTTCACTTTGGGTATATACAAGAAATGCCCTCAAAATTTTTATTGTAAAATACAGTAGCATATTTTCCCATATAAACCAAGTATAACATACGTCCTATTCTAATAATTTTAGATTCTTTGGAGAACAACTGACATGAAATCGGAGAAAATAAAATATGGGATCTATATAGTCATTCTGGAATCTGTGCAAAATTTCATTAGGCCGACTTTTGTAAGCATTATAGGCTCACAAAGCCACCAATTGTATGTTCAAAAAAAATTGGTATAAACATTGCTAAAGAGTTAAAATGAACACTTCGAGTAGTCTAGGTATTAATTGAAAATCCACCCCAAATCGACTAAATTAAAACCTGGTTTAAACAAAAACCTTTGCTAATAATTCAAAACCGAGCTAGGATTTTTTCTTCTATTGCCATAAACTTTCAGATTTTGGCGGTCCCAGTTGGTTCAAGATTTTGGCGCTGCACAGTGTCAGCGTCAATTTCGATATTTTTCCACAAAATATATCTTTTTGGTTCATGTGACACAATATATTTTAGTAATACTGGTTTCTACACTTCCCGGATTCTCTTTCCTCTAAGTTTTCAAATTAATTCTATCTCTAGAAATGGCGGTCAATATTATGTTCTCGAATATTTGGATGAGCTGAATTAAAACTAGGTCAGAATTAAATTATCATTGTTCTATTTATTTCGATTTATCTAAAATATACATATATGTATAGCATCCACATATAAACATAAACAATTATAAACATATTTTTTATTGGTTAATGGGTTGATCATCAGTGGACGTCAGTCGGTCTTGTGTTGTCTTATAAAAATAATGGAGTGTACATTTTTTGGGAAAAAAAATAGAAGACTCATAAAATGTCGTTTTTTTTAGTTAAATAAAAAATAGCATCAACTACTGGTAACTGAGAATTTAAGTTAAAATAAACAAAACGAACAAAAAACGTTTCAACATCAAATCGGACCAAAGATAATAAAAAAGAACGACAGTGCAAAATGCCGACCAAATACAATTATAGTTTTTTTAGTTTAAACGAAAGAGAAACCAAAGATCACATGAAACAACAACATAACGACAACGACGATTTTTTATGTTTGTTTATTTATTTTAGAAAAACAAGAAAACATCCCGCTTTGGTGACTCAGAAGAAGAAGAAGAAGCAAACGAGGACCCTAAAACCGTGTGGCCACACCGTACAACAACATTTGATTGGAACTTCAAAGATCAATTTGTAAAAAACAATAAGAACAAGTTCTGCACGCAAAGTATTGCCTTCAAACATGAAATTGAAAGAACGTTTTCAAAAATGGTGGGACAGTCTATCAAAAATGTAAGTATATCTCGAATGAAAAAATATATTTTCCGTAATGATAATCATTAGGAAAATGTGGAAAATTTAGTCTTCCGCCATAGGGGGTTGTGTATATAAAATTTGTTGAATAAATTAAGTACATTTTTAATTAAAATTTCGGCAATGTTTTCTAACCGAAAATGCTGTAATTTGGATTTTCTAAACTTCAAAACGTAGAATAAAATGTGTTCATCGAATCTTCTACGTACTTCAAATAGGTCGGTGCATGTTTATGTAGCTATGTTAAAAGCCGCGATCCAAGAGACAAAGCTAACTGACACCATTAGCTTGCACGTTTTGTAAGATCAAAGTAGAAGCGGAGGTGTGGACCTTGCGTGCTTATTCTGCACAGTATAGACCTATCTTGTTTGAGCTAAAGTCTACTGACTCATACTCGTACATGGAATATTTGGGGGGTAGCAATGAAGATTGGTATTTTCTAGATATGTGTGCTCAGCTTGTATATCCTGCCGTTAAATAATTCGCTTTTGGAATGTAACAAGTGAAAAAACGTTAAGTTCGGCCATGCCGAACTTTGGATACCCTCCACCATAGTTATACTGACAGATACATGCAATGAAAATATAGGGAACATACCAAAAAGTGGGCATATACCGATAATTCTACAAAACGATTTATGTACCAACTGTCAGCAAATTCGTTTGAAAACGGGCCCAAGAACCTCAAAATATCGAAAATTGGGGGTATCCTTATATGGGCGCTACCCGAAAAAGTTTACCTATATTTATAATTTTTTGTGGAGAGATTTGATACCCAATAAGAACTCAAATTACTAAATTACAGCCAATTCGGTGAAAAAATCCGGTCAAAACCCCCCAAAAACTGGAAATTGGGAGGTACCCTTATATGGGGGCTGCCAGAAAAAGTGGACCTATATTTATAATTTTTAGTAGGTAACTTTGGTACCCAATAAGAACCCCCTGTACCAAATTTCAGCGAATTCGGTTAAAAACCGCGCTCAAAAACCCTAAAATACCGAAAATTGGGGGGTACCCTTATATGGGGGCTACCCGAAATAAATTACCTATATTTGTAAATTTTAGTATAGAGATTTGCTACCTAATAAGAACTCAAAGTACCGAATTTCAACGAATTCGTTCGAAAAATGCGTTCAAACCCCCCAAAATACCGCAAAATTAGGGGTACCCTTATATGGGGGCTATCCGAAAATATGGACCCATATTTATAATTTTTAGTGGAGAGATTTGCTACCCAATATACTAAATTTCAGCGAATTCAGTTGAAAAACACGCTCAAGAACCTCAAAATACCGAAAATTGGGGGATATCCTTATATGGGAGCTATGTCTAAACGTGGACCGATAAAGCCCATCTTCGAACTTGACCTGCCTGCAGACAAAAGACGACTCTATGAAAATTTTGGCTATCTATTCGTTTAGACGCTAGAGTGATTACAACAGACAGACGGACTGACATGGCTATATCGTCACAGAATTTTACGCTGATCAAGAATATATATACTTCATAGGGTCGGAAATGATTATTTCGATGAGTTACAAACGGAAAAACAAAATTAATATACCCTCCATACTATGGTGGAGGGTATAATAAACGTCTGGTACTAAGGGATTTTTATATTCACTATTAGTCTCGGCATTCTGTCCTAGGTAATGGCCAGAGGTCTGCATCAAAAAAGACCGAGCAAATTTATAGCTACACGTTTTTTACAGTGATTGAGAAAAGATTTAAAATTGTTACAGTATGACACCCGATCTTATAAATTACCTAATCTGTCAATTTGTCATTTCCCGTGTTTAAGTCCACCTCCCCTTCTTCATGGTGTCCGTTAGTGGACAGAGCACCATCACTGTGAAGTGTTCAGCTTGTATCTACCGCCGTTAAATAGCTTTTGGAAGGTAATAAAGATGCCTAGTGTTAGATGATTTCGATATTAGCTCTGCCTTTCCGTCCTAAATAATAAGCAGAGGTCTACATTATTGACCGAGCTGATTTATAGCTCAACGTTTTGCACAGTGAATGAGGATGTTCCCACGAAAATTAGAAGATATTGCCACAGTACGCCATCGTGGCCCCTGTTCTGATAAATAACGTAACTTGGCAACACGCCATTTCCCTCGGCTCAGGACTCCTCCCCAATATCGTCATCGTTAGCAGAGGCGACGTTACTTACTCCTAAGCTTTGCAACATCAGAATCGAAACCAGTAAATTGTGGACAGCGGTAAATCAGTCTTGAATTCCAAAAGGTGGTTGTCAAATGTAGCGACGTAACGGTGACAGATTTGGGAGTAATTTTACCCTGTACTTTTTTTAAGCACCCTGAGAGTGGCAGGCCGAGAAGATGTACGCTACACTACAAGGATAATGTTGCAGATATCATTAGAAACTCTAAGTCTTCTATAGCATTGAATGGAATGCTTAAGCAACCGAATGAACCTAAAATACAGCTTTACTCTATTTGGTGTAGTCATCCACATGTTCCTGAAGCCAGGAAATTGGGCGGGGTGGTCCCCTACTAAAGCCGGACAAGTACAGTGAATTGTGTAGAACGATTTCACTTCCGACTCCAGTCACAAAGGGCCCTGCTGATGAGAAGTAGGTTCCCAGTAGCCTTCAACGTCGATTTCGGAAGATGCACAGCAATGGAACAGCTTGAAGGCCCTTGACTTTTCGAAAGCCTTAGAGAAGTCATCCTTGAGACAAAGCTTAAAACGTTGGATAATCAACTATATGTATTGGTCCGGGCATTGAGAAACAAGAAGTTGTGAAACTGGAAATTTCTCAATGAGGACACATATTTGCGGGTCTGTTTCATTTCTACCTTTCTGAAATGTATGCGAATAATTGTACGAATATAGCGTCAGGACCCCTAGAGTAAAACATCGAGTTTTCCAAAGAAGAGTTATGTTTGCGGATCTAATTAACCTTCACCTTTATGAAATTCGTCATAGAGAACGTAATGTATGCGGATGATTGTACAATTATGACGTCGTGGATGCATCCTGACAACGAACCTTTGTTGACCACAAAGCAAAAGGTCGGTCTGGCGGTGGAATGGTTTGCGAATATAAGCGATTCGCAGTGAAATAATATTCAAACGCAATAAAATTAGAACGCATTTCGGAGAACTGCAAGGGAGTATCTTCTTAGGACTCCGGCGATTTTGCATGTAATGTTCCTCAGCTTATTAAAGTCGTCTGCGCTCGCCACCACTATTTACGGAAATTTTTGTGTTATAAACAAGGTGTTAAGGTAGCTTGCCGGAAACTCTTTGGATGCTGACAACGAAGCGTTGTTGACTTCTTGTAAAGGAATAGGTTCTACATAGGCAAACGAGAGTGACTTTAATCCACATAAGACAAGGCTGGTCCAACCAAAATCAGATCTACAAAGCTAGAGGAACGGGGTTTCCTAGAACCTTTAACCGATCGGTTGGTGCCATTATATAGGGGTAAGATAATTTGTGGACTAGATAGGTAATTTTTTTATGATGAGGTCTTCTTCCAGATATGAATAGGAAATTATGGGATTTAAAACATGAAGTTTAGTTACACTAGAAAGTGTGCACTAGAAAGTGTATCTATAGGGTGTACAGCAAAATTATTAGACAAAATAAGCCATAGAATCTCAATAAGGGCTACCCAAAAAGGTAGGAGAAGTGGCAAGAAAGATATTGGACTGCGGCCTTTCTAGGAAGACCCTGGTCGATGAGATGTCTTGTCTAAATTGTAGCTAAGATCTTAAAAATACCGAAAATATAACAGGGCGCATTGTCAAAAATTGACCTATGTTTACTTTACCTAAAGCTGTAAAGCTATTTTTTACCCTTCAAATACCCTGGATGCCAAAAAAACGCATTCGGCGGGAAAATGCGACTTAAACGTTTAAAATGCGGAATATTGGACAGGGCCTCCATGTGGGAGTTTGTTTATCGAATGTTAGTTGTGTTGGACCTTGAAAATTCCATATTCCCATTAAATAACTAATTTGTTCACTTGTTTTTATTTTCCAGTCGTATTTTTGATCTGGCCAATATCGACTTGGACGCTCCAGTACCGAAGACCCGTGACGCAACCATTTATGTATTTCGCGGTCTGAACATTATCGGATATTTACCCACTGAGAAATACAAATACGGATTCTATGTGTGGTCGTTGTTCATCAATACATTTGTCACCTCATACCTCCCGGTTGGTTTCCTTATGAGTTTTATGCTGCGCCTGAGTACCTTTAGTCCCAGTGACTTTTTCACTTCGTTACAAATCTGGGTGAATTGCATCGGTTGCAGTCTCAAAATGTTGGTTTTCTTCTTCTTGTTTCGCCGATTGATCGTATCGCGTAAATTTATGGATCGTCTCGATGTACGTATCGACAACGATGAGGATGGTATGCAAATTCGTAAAATTGTTGCATTCTCAAATCGTATCGTGACTCTGTACTCTGCGTTGTATATCTCGTATGCTACAAGTACATTTTTGGTAGCCATTATCCATCAGAAGCCACCATATCAGGTGTTTAATCCGTTTTTCCATTGGCAAGAAGGGCAATGGAAATTTTGCATTCAGTCGACGGTGGAATATTCGATGATAACATTTCATTGTTTTCAGCAGGCGGTATTAGATTCATATCCGGTTATATTTATAACGATAATACGCACCCATTTGCATATTTTGGCAAGACGCATATCGCGATTGGGTACCGATGCGGAAATGACCAGCGATGAACGTTATGAGGCATTGGTGCAATGTGTATTGGATCATAAGAATATTATGGGGTAAGTTATTCTGGAAGATTTTTCATAGGAAAATTTTGATTCAGCGTGGCTGAATAGTATTTTCTACAGGAAAATTTCAATTCAGCCTTGCTAAATAGTAGTTTCCATAGGAAAATTGCTATTCAGCCTGGCTGAATAGTATTTTCTATAGGAAATTACTGATTCAGCCTGGCTGAATAGTATTTTCTATAGGAAATTTCTGATTCAGCCTTTCTGAATAGTAGTTTCCATAGGAAAATTGCTATTCAGCCTTGCTGAATAGTAGTTTCCATAGGAAAATTGCTATTCAGCCTGGCTGAATAGTAGTTTCCATAGGAAAATTGCTATTCAGCCTGGCTGAATAGTAGTTTCCATAGGAAAATTGCTATTCAGCCTGGCTGAATAGTAGTTTCCATAGGAAAATTGCTATTCAGCCTGGCTGAATAGTAGTTTCCATAGGAAAATTGCTATTCAGCCTGGCTGAATAGTAGTTTCCATAGGAAAATTGCTATTCAGCCTGCCTGAATAGTAGTTTCCATAAGAAAATTGCTATTCAGCCTGGCTGAATAGTAGTTTCCATAGGAAAATTGCTATTCAGCCTGGCTGAATAGTAGTTTCCATAGGAAAATTGCTATTCAGCCTGGCTGAATAGTAGTTTCCATAGGAAAATTGCTATTCAGCCTGGCAGAATAGTAGTTTCCATAGGAAAATTTCAATTCAGATTGGCTTAATAGTAGTTTCTATAAGAAAATTTCAATTCGGCCTAACCGAATAGCAGCTTATTTAAGAAATTATCTATTCAGCCTGGCTGTATATTAGTTTCCTTAGGAAATTAACTATTCAGCCTGGCTAAATACTACTTTCCATAGGAAAATTGCTATTCAGCCTGGTTGAATAGTATTTTCCATAGGAAAATTGATATACGGCCTGGCTGAATAGTGTTTTATATAGGAAAATTGCGGTTCAACCTGGGTTAATAGTATTTTCCAAAGGAAAATTACTGAATCGTAGTTTCCATAGGAAAATTGCTATTCAGCGTGGCTGAATATGATTTTTTGTACAATTTTTTATAATATATAGCTTTTTTACTTTCCCTAGGTTGTACAACATTTTCTGCCCTGTCATTTCGGGCACCATGTTCGTTCAATTTCTCATCATTGGCCTCATCTTGGGTATCACGACCCTACACATCTTTCTCTTTGCGGATCGTTTGGCTGTCATTGCATCCCTCTTCTATGTGGCATCCATATTGACAGAGACATTTCCCTGTAGTTTCCTGGCCAATTGTTTAATGGACGATAGTGATGCGATTTCATTGGCCATATTCCATTCGGCATGGCATGTCGAGGAGCCGCGCTACAAGCAAATGATTTGTTTTTTCCTACAACACACCCAGAAGACACTGATTTTGACGGCGATGAAAATTTTCCCCATTACCCTGAATTCCAACATCAACGTAAGAGACGCCGAAACGAAATTTGAGACCCGAAAGAGTTTCTCCCGAATATACGATTTTTTCATTTACAGGTTGTAAAATTTGCCTTTTCCGTCTACACGATGATGAAGCAAATGGGCTTCGGCCAAAGTATCAAAGATGTTGTCGGTGGCGATTTGTAAATTCGGATGGAAACAGACAAGCCGACATGCTAGGCAACAACAACTTGTCGTCATAAAAACGTTTATGATTATGGCTGGATGGATTATAAAATATTTAAAATTAAATTTCAAATTTTAGATTTGTAGTCCACTTGTTCGCACCCAGCACTCACACACACAGCTGCACATGTTGTATACCCCTATAGAGCGGATGGGGATCATTTTCCCCCTTTGCACACAGATAGGCACAGAGACTAGTCGTAAAAGTCTCACAACAAAAAACACATAACAAATTAATTAAAATATTCTCCCTATCCTTTCTCCTCTCTCTCCTCCCCCTTTTTCTTCTCTAAAAGCCTTCACATTAAAAAGAAAAAAATTAAAAGGAAAAACTTGTTGATCTCGCTGCTATTTTGGTAATGGAAAATCGTTTCACTTAGTCACTCACTCACCCGATCGGAAATGATAATGATTCTCATCATCATTCACACCACACACACAGACACACACTCGGAGCTATGAAGATTAATTTCATCTCTATTCCTTGGTGATGGGAATGCAGCATGAAAATCGCATAATTATGGTCTGAGTGTGAAGAGCACATCTGTTGCATGAGGCTCCCACAAATCCATTGGGATTATTATTTGACAGTGACGACAAACATCAGCTACTCCAACATCAACAACATCACCACCAACACCACCAGCACCAGTAGCTATGAACACTTGCTTGTACGCCAAGGAAAATTTTCTGTGGCCTTCAAGGCGAAATGTCTGCACAGTGGCTTTAGAATTTTAGTTCGAGAAACATAACAAATAAAAATAGAGCACTGCAGTTATTGGTTGTATTTTTATGTTAATTCCGTCAGGCTATAGGTATAGTGCCAGTAAAGTTTCTTGCAGGGTGAGAGAAATTTCCGACCTCATATAGTAATCCCGCCTCACTTTCCGACATTTTTAATATTTTAGCAATATTTTCCAAGGTCGAAAACAATAGGAGAATAGACATAGCATCTTTGGTGGATCATTAAAGTGAAATCGGACGAAAAAATGCACCGATTCTAACAAAACTTCGCATACATCAATCAGGACCTTATATAGTACTCTGTGCAAAATTTTATCTTAATCGGACGAACATTGACAGTCATTCTGGACCTAATTCTGTACCCTAAGCAAAATTTCTTGCAAATCGGGACTTCAGTGCCCCATTTACCTTAAATCGGACGAAAATATATATGGAAGCTATATCTAAATCTGACCCGATTTTCTCGAAACTTAGCACAGATCATTCCGGACCCAATTTAGTACCCTGTGCAAAATTTCGTGCAAATCGAAAGATCTATAGGGACTTTGGCGCACCATATATATTCAATCGGGCGAAAATATATATGACAGATACATCTAAATCTGAACTGATTTTCTTGAAACTTAGCACACATCATTCCGGACCCAATTCAGTGCCCTTTGAAAAATTTCGTGCAAATCGAAAGATATATAGGGACTTCGGTGCCCCATTTACCTTAAATCGGACGAAAATATATATGGAAGCTATATCTAAATCTGACCCGATTTTCTCGAAACTTAGCACACATCATTCCGGACCCAATTCAGTATATCCAAATCGAATCATAAATGCGCCCTGTACTTTGTTTACAATTTAATATCTACAGACGGACGGACATGCATAAATCGACTCAGAAAGTGATTCTATGCATATTCTCAAAGGGGACCATGTGTCTATCTCGTTTCCTTCTGCCTGTTACAAACATGTGCACAAAGACATAATACCCTGTACCACAGTGTGGTGAAGGGTATAAAAAGAAAGCCGAAGAGAAAATTACCGACTCCCAAAAATACCGTTTATTACAGTGCAATTGATTGAAACAATCCTAATAAACCTCCATCGGTGTAAGACGACATCAATGGATCATGAACCATGGACTGTTAAAAACAAGATACCATTTAAATTTGCAACTATTTTATGCAAACAAGTCTGTTTCTCCCCAGACTTTTCAACATCGGACCCATGTATACAGAAGCAGGCCAGACAACGTCTATCATTTAAAGACGACTTCTTCAAAAGTCTTCTATCTATAGAAAACCTTATAAAATGTCCTCTTGCAACCTGTTCTATCTAAAAAAGTCCTCTCGAAAGATAGAAGATCTTCATTCTACCGACTAGCTCTTAAAAATGTCTCTATTTGTAGAAAAACAACAAAAATGTTTCACATAATACCTATGGAAACCAAAATTGATTTCTACGCACTCAATTGGCAAAATTATAAGGCGATTTGAAGAGATTGTAGCGATTACAAATATTGTAAGGCCTCTGCATCATCGCTTCGCTCGTTCCGCTGAAAATTTCGCTGCTGTAAGTGAAAGTGTTTCCCAAGACCCAAATTTTTCCATTCCTCGTCGTTTTCAGGTATTAGGACTGTCTTATGGTACAATATGGCGTATGTTGCATTTAGATCTAACCTCTATCCATAAAAAGTCCAGCTTAGGTAATAACTGAAGAGTGAACATTTTCTTCAGCGATGAATCACAAAATAGTCGTAGTTGGGGTTCAGAGAATCCTCTAGTAAATGAAGGGAGCCCAATACATCCAGAAAAGGCAAGGTTTGGTACGCTCTTGGGTCCGAAGGAGTGTTATAGTCATATGATAACCGACGTGTTTTTTCTGCTATTCAAGAATATGTCTTGGAAAATATGTGGTTTCAACAAGACGGTTCCATATGGCAAACAACTTGAGCGATTATAGCTTTATTGTAACAGACATTTCATGGCTGTCAAATTTCTCGTCGAGGCGATATTAACTGGTCACCAAGAGTATGCGATTTGACACCATTCGATTTTTTATGGTTCGTTCAAACTCTATAATAAAAATATTTATTTTTGTTTAATTTACTATTACTTTTATAACTATGAAGTGGATAACCCTGTACCCTGGGGATGTGATATCTATAGAAGACCTTCTGAAAATTG